CCGCCACGGTCTCCGCGGCCGCCGTTTTTTTATTAATTTTTTCAGCTGAAACAGTAAAATAATAATTACACATTTTCATTTTCAAATAAGGATCACCGACATGTAGTATCGACAGTAATTATAAGTTCTTGAAATAATTGCGACAATATATATTGTTACGAACGCATTGAATTCTGCCTTTTTCCATCGTTTGCCAACTGCTTGTCAACTATTTCGTTTATTCACGAAATCGTTGAGCCATCAATATGGACACACACTTGCAGACAGAATTCGATATGTTGGTAATAATAATTTTCTACGAACATGTAATTTGTCGTTAATAAATAAATCGTAATAAATAAATATCAAACACTAGACTTACATTGCTCGTTGGCGGCCCCTCATTTTGTTTTTGTTTTTTCGGATGTCGTTTCTCATTTCCCTTTCCCCTTTTTTTCTAGATTTTCGCAAATTTGTGTATCGGACACAGTATCCATCTGTATATAAAATGATTTTGTTATTATTTTACCGTAATGTAATAATTTATTACTAACATGTAATAATATTATTTTCTTATATTATGTGCTACGTTGATATTCATGATGTTATTGTTACGTCCCGGATGGTACCTTTGCTGATGGTCCGGAATCGCTCTTGAATTGACAATCTTTCGGACCACGCGGTACGTGCGTCCGTCGTATGTCAGGGATCCCAGGGTGTACAAGTATGACACAGTACTTACCCGAAGCTTCCTCCTTAACTTTTACAATAAATTTCTCGTCTCGGATTCTTAGGTAGTAGATCCTTCACTATGATCTTCTTCACAGGTATATCAATAGGTAATAACTGATACTTAACTTCGCGGATAACTGGTCGCGGAGTAGGAGCTAGACAGGGTAGGTATAAGGTGCGTAGGATCTTACGTAGTTGGTATCTACGACCTCTTCGTCTTTGTCTCCCCATGATCTGACTAAAAATGCAGAGACATCAAACACATCATATGCGCACCGTGCGGCTGTCTCGCACCACCGTGGCGATGTGGATTACCTATCTCGACTTCGCAATATAATTGATCTCGTGCGGCTATGTCTCGCACCACCAGATCCAGCGTAATCGATTATACGTATTTTAAATAATCAAATGCTCTTAAAGAGATTCCGGGTTTGTGGGAAATGATTAAAGGCGAATATAACTAAATATAAAATATATTCAATACTAAAGTCAGAAGAGAAGTTAAAAGGAGATTAGTTATGATCTGTTATTGTCTGGAGATTGCGTGATGCAAATAAAGGTTCGTGAAATTAGATAGGGATGTACATAGCAGGATGTTTAGGTTAAGATAAAGGGTGAACTTAAAGATCTAGGAGTAAAGGAATGTGAAACTTATGTTATCTTATTTATAACGCATGCGGGACTGTGTCTTATAACCAATTGTGTCAGAAACGCAATATATATATATATATATATATATATATATGTACTTAATAATAATAATAATCCTTAGACATATAGTCCTTAAGCAACTAGATCAAACGTCGTCGCACGACGTCACATTATACATATCTCAATTGATGTGTTGCCTTCCATGGCTCAGCTTCTAATGACGAACAATCGGTTATCGCGCCGTTCGGTATACGCTATCGGTAGCTGATTTCGCTGCGAGAAATCGCGACTCGCGCGACTCGCGGCTCTCGCCATCTATCAGCGGCGCGAGTAGTTCGCGCCTCAGTTATCGCGTTACAAAGTGGTGTGAATATTCTACCGGTAACCCCTCGAGATAATGATCAGGGTGTGCGCCCGGAGTAGGGATACTCCATACCGCGGAGATACATGATTATATATATGTACTTGTTGTTATGTAACTGTAATGTCCGAAGAATCAAGCCATTGGTCGTTAATAATAAGGTTTATTATAAAAGATATTAATACAAGAAACGTGGAACGAGATCTCGACAGATTGCGAGCGGAATCGGCACTACGCACTATCGAGCCCCCTGTTAGCCTACATAGCACGCAATTCGGGTACGGCCCGCGGATCTACGACGTAACACCCTCAACACATCACAGTAACCAGCACGGTTACAACGAGATCCCTTATTATACATTTGGGTTTGCTATACGCGCCAAAATATTCTTTAAAAAATTTAATTACTTCTTGGATGCCCATAGATTTACATGGAAATCATTTAATAAATTTCGTAAGTCCATCAATTATAGCTAATAAATGTTTATACCCCCCC